TCAGAATCTTTGTAACCTATGCACGGATAACGAAAGGTTTTTATTTTAAAGTATACCAAAAAGGGTGCAAATAAACGTAAAATACATGTAAAAAAACAAGGGCCAGTGTATATAACAATCCTCCCTGACCTGGCCTCGAACCTAGGTCACTCCGGGTATGAGACCGGAGGGCCAGTACTAAACCAACCATGCCACACGACCCATTAAAAGGAGTGTGCAACTAGGATCTAACTAGCTCCATAGACATTACCTATCTACATAGGTCACTCGGGTATGAGACCCGGAGGGCCAGTACTAAACCAACCATGCCACACGACCCCACTAAAAGGATGTGTGCAACTAGGATTAACTAGCTCCATAGACATTACCTATCTACTCATACATGAGTAATGATAGCGAGGTTTTACACACACTCCCCGTGGGCACTCGGTGGAAATTGATTTAGAAATTCGAAACCGAAGTCAGATATCCTGAGGCATATATATGAAAGATGGAATAATGCAATATCGCATTGATATAGATATATAACAATCCTCCCTGACCTGGCCTCGAACCTAGGTCACTCCGGGTATGAGACCGGAGGGCCAGTGTAGTACAAAAATAAAAAAGCGTATAGAGAGGCTGGCAGAGGGAAGTGGTCCGGCTGTGCTCGACTCGCCCTGTGGATTTCGGCAGGATGCTGGGTAGGATAGGGATAGGATGGGAGCAGGAGAGGATAGGATTAAAGGTAGAAGGTAGGACAAACGGGAGAAAGGAATAGAAAAAAGGGGGAAATTAGCGTAGAAATAGAGGGTGCGAATAAGAGGGGTACGAGGGGAAATACGGCAGGATACAGTGCAGGATAGGGGTAGGATGGAGGGAGGATAGTATAGGGATAGAGATAAAAGGTTGAACAAGCAAGGGAAACGAGTAGAAGAGGGAGAAGCTATCATCGACGAAGAGAGAGGAGAAAAAAAGCGAGGGGACAGGAAGAGGGTGCGAATAAGGGGACGAGAGGGATAGAAGGATTGGGGCAAGGAAAAGGGGGGTGGATAGGTAATGGGTATGGTGGGCGGGGAGGTTGAAAACTTCATAGTCGATTCGTTGAGCGTATGTATACTTTATCGCAGCCGCCGCAAAGTATGCTGTACATCCACGAGGCCTCCAGGTGTGCTCCAGGCGTCCCCTCTGGATCTGGTCATGATCTTTTCTGCCTTGCGTCGGAGGTGGGCGAGCGAGGCGCGAGGGTAACGGAGGCGTTGGAAGGTGTGACTGACGTGTTGCATTTCCTCCTCCAAGAACTCCGGGCTGCGGTTTCTAAGTGCTCGGAGGAAGAAACCAATGGCCACGCCTTCTTTGGTTCTATTGCTGTAGGCTGAGAAATAGTGTGGAAAATCATCTTTATTTGTGGGTTTTCTGTACAGAGAAAACCGGGCCGACAGGTCTCATATATATACACACACACACACACACACACACACACACACACACACACACATATATATATGTATGTATGTATGTACGTATATATCACCATCACCATCATCATCAGCCTGGGTCAATCCACTGCAGGACGTAGGCCTCTCCCAATTTTTTCCATCTTTGTCTGTCTTGCGTTTTTTGCTTCCAGTCTTGGCCCCCAAATTTTGTTATTTTGTCGCGCCATCTTGTCATAGGTCTGGCCCTTGGCCTCTTTATGTTATCTATAACCCAGTGTGTTACTTTCTTTGTCCATCTGTTGTCCTGTCTCCGACGTATATGACCTACCCATTGCATTTTGTTTTTCTTTTTTTTGATATTCCCGAGTATATCTTCCACTTTTGTCTGTTCCCTGATCCACGTCGCCCTCATCCGATCTCTTAGACTAATTCCCAGCATCAGCCTCTCCATCCCTCTCTGAGCACTTATTAGTTTCCTCTCCAGTAATTTCCGGCCCATTCTAGCTTCTTGAATATTTCCTCAAGGCAAGCTGTAAACAGTTTTGGTGAGATGGTATCACCCTGTCTAACACCTTTCTTAATTGGGATTTTATCGGTTTCTGTGTGGAACCTGATGATTGTTGTCTCATCTTTGTGTATATCTTCTAATATTTTACAATATACCTCCTCTACTCCCTGTCTTCGAATAGCTTCTAGTACTGCTGGTATTTGTACAGAGTCAAATGGCTTTTCGTAATCAGTGAATGCCATACACAGAGGTTTCCTATATTCGTTTATTTTTTCTCTTATTTGGGTAAGCGTGTGTATGTGGTCTGTTGTTGAGAATCCACTGCGAAAGCCTGCCTGTTCTCTAGGCTGGTTAGAATCCAGGCTGACAGAGATGCGAGTTGTGATGATTTTAGTGAACAGTTTGTAAGTAACTGAAAGGAGACTTGTGGGTCGGTAGTTTTTTAGATCCTTCCTTTCCCCCTTTTTATGAATCAAACTAATTGTTGTATTTTTCCAGGCTTTCGGAATTCTTCTATTGAGAAGGCATTTGTTAAAAAGATTGGCTAGTTTCACTATTGCAATTTCTCCTACGT